CTAGGATAATTGGAGAGGTTGAGGGAAGTATAGTACACAGATCATCTCGAATCACAGTTACACAGAACTGGTCAAAATTCAGGGCACATTTACTATCTATACACATAATCCAAAAGTGTCAAAATAATTCCAGAATAAATGTTTATAAACAAAAAAAAATCACATCAAAGAAGATAAAAGAGCCCATTACATTTTCTGCTCCTTAGCTAACCTCACCCTTGTTCAAAAGGGACAAGTGGGGCAAGATGCAGTCACGGCTGCAAATCCCCCTGACCTCCTTCCCTTCCTCTCTGTGTCCTGAATCCACCCCACACCTGCTCCCCTGAGAGATCATCTGCTGATTGCTCTCTAGAGAGACTGTTCTCTAATCCAACAGATTCTGGAGGTAGCATAAATGGCTGCACTGGGAAAGGGTATTCCCTAGTCCCAGAGGCCATGTGGCATCTACTGATTCGCAAGTATCTGTAAACGGTAGACATACCCTCTGATACGTGGATGTTTTCATTTTCTCCGAGTGATTTTTTTTTTGAAAAATCTGCACTCTTTCACCTACCTCTGGATGAACAAGAGTTGAGTGCTGCATATCCTCAAATCTAACATCTATCACTTATAACATATATCATTATTTTATGTACCACTAAGAAAGAAAAAAATGCTAATTATATAGCATAATGCTTTCTTATTACTTAGAATTTTCCCACACAATATCTATCTGTTGCAGTCTGTGCCATCATCTTCTGTGGATTTCTTTTTTTTTTTAAGACAGAGTCTCACTCTGTCACCCTGGGTAGAGTGCAGTGGCATCATCATAGCTCACTGCAACCTCCAACTTCCGGGCTCAAGTGATCCTCCCGCCTCAGCCTCCTGAGTAGCTGGGACTACAAATGTGCACCACCGTGCCCAGCTAATTTTTCTGTTTTTTGTAAAGACTGGGTCTCGCTCTTGCTCAGGCTGGTCTCGAACTCCTGAGCTCAGGCAATCCTCCCACCTCAGCCTCCCAGAATGCTAGGATTACAGGCATGAGCCACCATGCCTGGCCAGCCTCTGTGCATTTCTTAAAAGACTCAGCTCTGGTCTCTGGGATCTTCTCCCAAGCCTCTGACATCATTCTGCAAGTTTTGTACTGGAACTTCTTAATCTTACCAGGTGTCAACAAAAGGTTTTCAGGTAACCATAAGGAACACATTTTATTTGGCAATTAAGTGCAACCTGGGTAGTACAGCCTATATTACTTCCTTTGACACATTATCAAATATGATTGTTGGCCATAGGAACACAGCATTTCACCATTTGGCAGTTTCAAGCCAATTATGAGCTGTGGACTCATGGCTGTCTGGTTCCACTCACCAAAAGACATGACGAGGATCATCAACAACAGCTCAGCTCAAATGTGGACAGCAGCCTTGAGTGTGCTTCACCCACTTAGTGTAGTTAGAAGAACTCTTTCTAAGGCATGGACCCCACATTTGAAATAAGAGTAAGGATTAGAATTGAAATCAGCTTCTTTTGTATACCTTTTATTTTCTATTTTTGTTTCTCTCACAAAAGACTTCATCATGAAAAGGAGGAAGCCGAAACTGAAGTGAGTTAAAAACTTCATCTCCAAGAGAGGACTGTGGCTCCCCCTGCGTTGAGGTAAGATTGGATGGTTCCTGGGGATGAGACTGGGTTGAACCATGTGGCCACACCCTCTCCCGCCCTTTTCTCTCTCCCTTCCTCTTCTACTCCCTTGACTTTCCAAGCTTCCTTCTCTTCCTCTCTCCTGGGGACTCAGTATGCCAAAGATGCTGCCTATAGTGATGAATTTGTCTAGACTTTAAGAGGAGGCGTATGAACTGACAAGAGAGTCTGAGCTGAGAGGGGCACATGTGCAAGGACTCGTGACTATTCTGTCCCCTTAGGTTCTGAGCTGTGGCTCCTCACTTCTCCAGTACAGTTTCTCGCCTCTGTCTGTCCCACCTAATGCATTCAGGACTAAATTGGTCAGGAAGGAGGGAAGAAGAGGAATATTCTTTTGCTGCCCCTGCTCTTTCTCTTCTTTTCCACCACCCTGACCCTGACTCCTCTCACCCTGGCCACTCTCGCACCCATTCCCCAGGCAGGATGGGACACTGGGCAACAGCATGAGCTCCTCTAGTCTGGCTGGGAGGGTCTGAAGCCTGGCTTGGGGCCTTACAGACTGTGAGATATTGGTTAAGTTACTTTCCCTCCCTCGGCCTCAGTTGCAGGGGCTATAAAATGAGTAGCTTAATAGTGCTACTTCATAGTGTTATCAGAATTGACTGAGATAGTGCAAGTGAAGCCATTATAGCCTGCCACAAAATAAGCACAAAATAAATTTTGATTATTATTTCCCATCCTCTCTGTTGTAGGTGGTGGTTGTTTTATCTCTCTTTTTTTTCTGAATGCTCTTTTTGTCTCATTCTTCTTTATATTTTAGCTTCTATGGACTATATTTCACCTTCTTTACCCTCTTGCCATTCTTAACTCAGTTTACCTTCCCTGTGTACACATGTAAGATGTCTAAAGGGAGGCACTGAGTTGCCACCAGCAGAAAGTCTGTGCTCAGAGTTGAGATTCCACAGCTTGCTGTGCTTGTGTCAGGCAGCAGTGCTCTCTGCATCCCACAGCCCTGTCTGCAACAGCAACGAGACATACTCACTACTTACCCTTGGCTTGGGCTAGGGAAAAAAGGAGTCTCTGAGGAAGAACTGAGGTGGAAATACACACACACACAATCTACTGCTTGCCAGTTAAGTATCCTTCCTTTAACTGGTATGGAGTTTGTGAAGAGGGGAGGGAAATCTTTTTTTTCCCAACTATTTTTATTGTGGTAAAATATAACATAAAATTTACCATCTTAACTATTTTTAAGCATATGGCTCAGTGGTATTAAATACATTCATAATGTTGTTGCAACTATTACCACCATCCATCTCCCTAACTCTTTTTATCTTGTAAAACTGAAACTGTATTCCCATTAAACAGTAACCCCCCAATTGCCCCTCCCCTCAGCCCCTGGCAGATACCATTCTACTTTGTGTCTCTTTGAACTTGACTATTCTAGGTACCTCACATAAGTGGAATCATAAGTATTTGTCATTTTATGACTGGCTTATTTCACTTAGCAGAATGTCCTCAAGTTT